GCAATACAGGGGGGGGGAGAGGACACTGCCGCGTTCCGCGTGTGCCGGCCGCCACTGCACTTGGCAGCTAGGGCAAGCAGCCCTGCCCAAAACGCCTCGTGCACGCTCCTGGATGCTTCCCACCTCAACGCGCAGGCCCCAGCCCTTGCGCCCGCACTCTCTTGTGTCCCGCAACTCCTTGCACACCCCCTTGTCTGCCGGCGCCCGGGCCCTTGCGCCCAGCCCTGTGCTCACCCTTTGCGAAACCGTTGTACAGGTCAAAGCCCGCGAACTGGATGACCTCCAGGCTGGCCACACTCATGATGCACGCGCACGCGATGACGGCGATAGCCTCAAGGCGTGTGCGGCCGACGGGGTACTTCGGATGGTACTTGTTCTTCTGCGACTCCGCAACAGACAGCACCAGCTGTGATGCCAGGTCGACTGCCGGCGCGTGCGGGGGGCGGGGCGTGTATTTTTGGGCTGCTGCCGCACGGCGGACATGGGTCATGTTATGTCAGCAGGGCCCGAGAGGGTGGCGCCCGGGCGGCGGGAGGGTGGCGAGCGGGCCGGGCTATGAAAGCCGAGTGCATGCGTCGCGGGGCGGTCCGGGACAGCTCAGCAGGTGGGAGCAGGGCGGGCGAGGGGCGCACCTCCAGAGTCCGCCAGGCTGGCCAGCACGGCCTTGGAGCGCGAGACGACGAACGCGGCGATCTTGAGGCCCAGCAGCAGCCAATTGGCGGCCCATGACAGGCGGAACGCGAGCTTCAAGTGCCGCTGCCACGGCCAAGGGCGGCGCGGGCCGCCTGCCGCGGCGCGCACGCCGCTTGTTGACGCGGGCGGGGACGGCTGCGCCCTGGTATGAGGGGTAGCAATATGGGCTTGAGTTGCGATAAGGTGGGTGTCCATGCTGTCAGTGCGGCCGCTCACTAGGCCGCGAGCCACAGTGGAGCGCAAGATTCTCTAGCTGTCGGGGGCCAGGCCACGCTGATTTATTGTTGCAGAGGCGGAAATTTTCAACAATCCGCTACTGATTCGCTCGAAGCATGGCGTAATTGGTTGATGCTCTCCGAGCCGACGGTGAGTCACCATGCAGCACACATGGTGAGGATGACAGCGGGACCATCTCATTGACTATTGCATACCACCGCACGCCTTTTTTTCACGTTGACAGAGGGACAAAGCTCGTGTCCTGATCCCTATTGCTTACCTGTGCGGCATCGGCCAGATCGAGTCTCCAGCCCAGTGACATCAGCACAGCACGCACAGCACTCGGTTTCTGCTCTTTCTCAGATCAGCACGTGTCCAGATGGCAACGAGTGTTGTGAACCCCACGATGTCTGTGTGAGCGCAGGAAGCACGAGGAGGCTGCTGCAACAAGCACAGGAGCGAGGCGACCAGGCGTGGCAGTGGCCTTGGTGTTCAAGCCAGGGAATGGTACAGCGATGGTTTGACAGCAAGAACGGCAGCCTTGCATAATCCCCAAACCGTACAATGCCATCTTAATCGGTGCTGCGACGCTCCCTGACACTCATGATGCAGGATAGCTCCCCTCACCGCCTTGCCCGGACCCCCCTACCACAACAAGTTGTCTCAATATGACGACGATAAGAGCATATACAGGCTTACTTCGATGATCATAAGTACCAAGATCTCAAGGCAGCGACAGCTCTTGCGAGTCATCAGACGCCGTTTGGAATCCACGAGCTCCATCAAAACCAAAGGCACCGCCGACGTTGGCTCAATATCAAACGGTGATGATAAATTACAGTACATACCGCCTCACGCCCAACGAAAGCACTATGGTAACAACGCCCGCCGCTTCCGCCTGATCCTGGGCATATCCGCCGGCACCTCCGAGCGCACTGAAGCGCTATGCTCAGCCTTCAACAACCGCAACTGCAGCCGAAGGGTATGATGAAACCGTTGATCACGCCGGGTACAAGACGCCTCGCTGTGCGCGTGCGTGCCGAGCAAGCGGCGCCCAGCCTCGGCGCCCGGGTCAAAGCGGCGCTCTCCTTCGACGCAGCCGCGCGGGAGCGGCGGCAGCAGCAGCGGCAGGAGCGGCAGCGGCAGCAGCAACAGGTCGCCCCCGCAGAACCCCAGCGGTACTCCCTGCAGCGCGCGCTCGCGCGCCCCGAGGCCGCCGCATCCTCGGCCTGCGCCTTCGCGGTCGTTGCGGCGGCCGTGTTCCTGCAGCCGCACGCGGCGCTGCCGCTGGACGCGGCGGCGCACTCGTGGGTCGCGGCGCACACCAGCCCGGAGTGGCGGTACGCCGTGGGGGAGCTGCTTATCAGCGACGCCCCGATCGCCTTTGGGTTCACCCTGTGGGTGGCGCTGACAGGTGCGACGGCGCACACGCACGAGCCAGCTGTTGCTAGCGCTCCCAGTGGCCAGTCAGTGCTGCTCTCCGCTGACGCAATGCCGGAGCCGGATTTCACCTCCTCATCTCAACGCCTCCTCGCTCCAGCCTGTCTGGGTGCCAATTGGGTCCCTTCGATTGCAAGCGGCCCCACATGACGAGCCGGTCGACGGCCTCAACCCCAAAGCACCTCCTGCCGCCGCCCCTGCTCCGCCCGCAGGTGCCGCACTGTTCTTGTCCCCGCGCCGCGCCGCGCCCACGCTGCTGGTGTCCTTGTTTGCCTACGCTGCGGGCGCCGGCTTCTCAACGGGCTCAGACGCCGCCCTGGTTGGCGCCCTCAAATCCGCGTTCCACCGCGTACGGCCGTCCACCGAAATCCACCACACCTTCTCCTTCCCGTCCGGCCACACCACAGCGGCGACCTTCATGGTCGGGGCCGCGCTCGTCGTGCTGCTGCCCCTCGTGCTGCGCCTGCTGCGGGACGGCCCCGGCGGCGGGAGCGACAGGGGTGGTGGCGCTGCCACGCGGCTGCCTGACGGCGTGGTCTTCGCTACTTGGGGCGGCGCGGTGGCGATGACCGCGGCGGGGCGCGTGCTGGCCGACTGCCACTGGGTCAGCGACACGGCCGCGGGCGCGGCGCTGGGAGTCGGGTGCGTGTGCGCGCTGGCGTGGGCAGTGGAGACCACCGAGCACGCCCTTGGCAACAGCGGTCGCAGCAGCGGCAAGCGCGACAATGTCTCGTGAGGATGCGAGGCACGGTTTTTTGTTGTACACGCTGCTTTGATTTCTTGCCGTCGTCGTCAAGCCGAGGAGCCGTCCTCTTGGACTGACAGCTTGCACACTGCACACTTGCGCTGAAAATGAGAGCATGCGCGAGAGCCCCTGGTCGACAAACGCAGTCACCAACCTTCGAGACTGCTGCAATCCTATCCTTGACTCCTTGATGAGTTGTTCTGTGCTTCTGTGCGGCACGGCCGGGTGAAACCCCCCAGGCGGCTTACCATTACCCTCGTGCAGCTGGTCAGAGTGGGTACTATGGTTCGCTAAGAAGCCACTACTAGCATTTTGGCCGCCCCTTCGACCTGCTCCCGCCCACCCAGCACGTGCCTGCAAAACCGGCCGGCAGCACCAACGCCACACGCACACAGCGCATCGCGCGCCAGCGAGCTCCGCAAGGAAGGCATGCGCCTGCTGGCTCCGCCGACGGATCATCACTGTCACTCCTGCCGTCGCCACAGCCTCCTCGCCTGCACGCTCTGCCGAAGCTTGCTGCTGCTGATGTCTATTGGGATGGCGCTGCCAAGGGCTCCTTTCTGCTATCACCTTGCTGTTCGCCCGCCTTTACGCCGCTGTCACGGCTGCTGGTAGGCTCTGGCGCGGCCGCCGCGACTACCGCTTCTGCCGCGGGCTGCTGCGAGTTGAGGGGCGTCAGCAGCGGCAGGCCGCCACCGTTTTGCTGAAAACAGGCCCGGCTGCTTGGTGCTGGACAACCCTCCTCGTGCGCTGCAGCGAGGTCTCTGCCAGTCCTTGTGACATTGTGGCAGCCACCTGCACATGTGCCGGAGGCATGAGCCTCTTGCCCTGCGCCTGACGCCTGGGCCATCCCTGCCGCAGCTTCCATCGGGACTGTGGCCAGAGCTGCTGGTGCCTCCGCAGGCCTGGGTTCGGGGCACGACAACGCCTCGCCGCACAGGGCGGTGGAGCTGCCTGCATTGGTGCCAACGTACATGTCATCAGCGCTTGTCTGCAGCTCTTGGGAGCATTCGTGCAAGCTCCTTTCTGGGGTTGTGGGCCGAGGGCGCCTTGCCACGCAGCTGCCTGGGGTGACCAGCTGCTGCGCCTGACTGGGCTTGGAGGCGTCCCCACTGCAGTCCGTGCAGTAAGGCAGCACCACTGTTTTGCTGCTGAGCAGCTGTGCCTGTGGCAGGGTGTTGCTGTTTGGCAGCAGGCCGCTTCCCGGATGGCTGCCATTGGCGTCGTTGGCAGGGCTGCCGCTGCTGCAATCTGCATCTGCTGCAGCCGCATTTGGTACAGGCTGAAGCGGCGGTGCCTCAATCTCCTGTCCGTCATCATTGCCATTTAGGTGCTCGCACTCAGCGGCAGGCGTGCTGCATTCTCCTTGCTGCCCTGGAAACGCGAGTCGCGACAGCTGCACGACAGCTGCCTTCATCGTTTCGCGCGTCAGCTCACTGGCCGACGCTGCGCCTGCCGCTGCCGCGCTGCTGCCAAAGCCCACTGCCGCCGCCGCAGCCGAAGCTAGGAGGGGGGCGGCCGCTGGGAGGCCCCCGCAGATGAGCGCGGCCGCCTGCTTGAGGTGCAACCCCCTGCTGCCGTGGCTGCGGGCGGAGCGTGCCGCTTCCAGGTGCTGCTGTGCTGCACTCAGCCAGCCGCTGCAGTCTCCAGGGTAGCCGCCACTGATAGTGGACACCGGGGGGCCCGCAGCTGCCTGCCAGTCCGGTTGCTTGGGGGCTGCGCCATGACAAGGCGCCGCTGCGTCGCTGGAGGGAGCAGCACGTGGCCCTTGGCTGCTGTCGGCACCGCCTGCTCGCGACGGCTGGCTGGGTTGAGGCGTCAGTCCAGAGGGCACACTCGCTACTGTGATCAGGCAGGGGGGCGCCATCCTGCTGCTGGTATTTGTGGGAGTGCCAGTTTCGCTTGCCCGGGGCGTGCGGCTGCCGGCGCCAACCTGGACCCGGCCCAACGCGCCTTCGGCGGCCGCTGTGGCTGCCTCGACCGCCTCAGACACTTCATCACACGCCTGCAGATGGCTGCCACCACTCCAGGTCTCACAGCTGAAGCCGAAATGCCTGCTGCCAATGTTGCTGTGATCTTCGCTTGCGGCTGCCGCGCTGTTGCAATCGCCCGGGGCGCTGCAGCCGTGTTCCCGGGCTGCCGCCGCTGCCGCGTTGTCGACGCCGAGGTCGCCTTGTGCGGAGGGCACAGGCGGCAGCATCGCGGGCGCGGTCCTGCGCCGCCGCCGCGCGGCAAGTGCAGCGGCTGCCTCGGCCGCGGCCGCCTGCTGGGCGAGGCCTGCCGCCATCACCCTGACTGCCAAATCGTCGTCCTCCGCTGCGATGGCATAGCTGAGGACGAGCTCGTGGGTGGTCGGCAGCCCAAGCACGGCGGGGTCGAGGGGCGGCAGGGGCGCGAAGCTGCGGGCGCGCTGAGACGAGGTGGAGTCTGCCGAGGCGCGGCGGGCGGACGCCGCGCCGGCTGCCTGCTTCAGCTGCGTGATGCCTGCATGTAAGGGCAGGTCTGCTGTGGCAAGGGCGCGGCCGCCGCAGGTGCCTGCTGGGGACTGCGTGCTGCCAAGGGTGTGTCCAGGAGCTGGGGGCCCCAGCTCCTGCTGGGCTATTGCAGCTGCCAGGGTGGCATCCAGCTTGAACGTGCTCGTGCTGGGGCCCCTTGCGGCGGTGGCCAGGGAACTGATGTCAAAATGGGATCGCCGCCTGGGCTCGGGGCCAGATGCTGAGGGCGTCGCTGACATTACTACGACGCTGTCGCCGCTGGACTGCCTGCGCTGCTGCGGCGCGGCCCGCGCAGCCACACACGACGTCTTGGGATGCATGGAGCGTGCTTATGGATGCCAGTAAGGCAACAATTTGATATGAATACGGTACCGCACAGGCGGGTGCAACCTCCGCGACAACAAAAAAGGCCCTGGCTTCTGTGTACAGCATTTTGTCACAAAAACATAAAGATAAAGTGATCAGTGACATTGAGACCGCATTACTTAGCACCCCAATAGTTGCACAGTCGGCTTTGGCACCTGCCCTTGGGCTAGCAGAGGGCATGTGCAGGGCAGGTAGGCGAGCAGCGCCCGCGCATGCCGTGATATGACCTGGAGAGCAACGGATATCACAAATTTACGTTTCTTACATTGTGCTGGACGGTGCAACACCGCCATTTGATGCAGCAATCCAGCGAAACACATCGGAACAACTTAAAAACCAGCACAATCAAGGCTTGTCATGCGCAAGGCAGCCCGGCGTCATTTCAATGTTTTGAATCAACTGAAGCGATTGATAACATGTATCCAGCAAGTCACCGCTTGGACAGATCTGAAGATTAGAGTATGAACTAGGCCGCCCAGCCATGGCCAAGCAGAGGCCCAACAGACAGGGAAAAGGCATCGCGGCTACGACGGATCCGTCGCCTGCAGCGACGACAGCGGCGCCGCCCGGCAAGCGGCCGCGCGAAAAGCGTGCTGTCGCTCCTGGCGCGCCACCGCGCAGCGTGCTGGGCCCCCGAGCGATCGCCGTTGCGCTCGCGGCAGCCGCCATTGCCGTGCTGTGCGCTTGCTTGGCGAAGCCGGGGCTGCTGCTGGCGCTGCTTCGGCGGTCTGCGGCGGCATGGGGATCGCCGTCAGCGGACGCGCTCCTGTTTGAACCCATGACTGTCAGGGGCGGCCAGACTTTCGGGCCCTCGTTCGGGCTGTACCCCCGCGGCTGCCGGTGGCGTGACGTGACTCCCAACAACATTTCGCAGCAGGTGTGCAGCGTGTGCTCACTGCCACACGCTGCCAAGCACGATCCGAACGCACCGCACGAGTGCGGGCTCACTTCGGGCCGCCGGGGGTGCAACACACGTCGATGTGCTGGGTGTATGTAGTGCCTGGGATTTGCAAGGCCCATGTCCCCGAGATTCAGCACCACAAGTCGCAGGCCCCTTCACCCGCAGCTCGCAGCCGCCGGCCGGCACCAGCGCCCCGCCGCGCCGCGACCCGACGCCGCCCTGCCCCGCTCCCCAGCGGCGCCCGCGGCCAACCGTGCTCACCTCCCCCCCCGCCAGGTCCATTACCAGTATTGGAACCACACCGTCAGAACCTGGAGCGAGCGGCGGCCGGCCGCCTGCTCCCTACAAGGGGACCCCAAGCCGGGCCCCGCAGGGTGGGGCTTCCTAAACGGGACACCCCGCACGGAGGTGCGGCCGTTCAAGACGCACGTGATCTATCAGAACCTGTGGTACAGCGA